ACTCGCATTGACATATTCTCATTAGTCCGGGAAAAGATAGAATGCTGGAAAGTTAGCTTCATTTATACCTGATGCTGTTTGAGTCTTTGTTTCCGACTACATGACGGAATTCCGATTACCTACTTCAGTTACCACGTGTTCCCAATAGAAACTCTCGTCACGTGCCGACCGTCGCGAAGGCACGGAACGCATAATCTACGATTATACGTATTCTATCGCGTGATTCTATCGCGAACACTGAACGTATTGTGCCTGTTTGCGAGGTGAAGCCCACAAATGCATTCCGCGCGATTCCAAATGTACAGCAAAGCGCGATAATAGCGATCGCCGGCGATGCGACTTTTCTGAATTTTCCCCTCCGTTTTTCTCTGTCTCGCTTTTCCCTATAAGCTTTTCCCTATAATATAAAAATTCTTGCGCGCACAGAGCTATTTTCATCAGAGATTATCTTCTTTGGTTCTTGGTTTGGCACTTACCGTTATTTTACCGTTATTCCTCATTTATGACACGGTCCGCGTTCTTTTCAACATCGCACGAAATTAGGTCATGATAAAATATTAGGTTAAATTTTTCAGCGATATATCGAGTTTTTAGTAGAACTTTATCGGAAAAATGAGAATCTAGTTTCACGCAAGTATTGTGTTTTTTATAAGGTTCCTGAAAACATACATTGCCCTCCATTTTGTGGAAATTTAAACGAATTTAAAAATGAGACGGGATATGAACTAAAGTCGACGATTGAATATAGGTATTTGGAAAAAGTATATAATTTAAGAAACTAATAGCTGCAATTATCCTCTTACAGTTGACGATTCTAATAGTTTTAGACAAGCATTCTCTTTCCGTGATATTCCTACTGTATTTCCTTTCTTTATTCTCCTTACTATCCCCTTTATGCCCCCTTTGTCCTTTTTTCTACATCTCTCTCTCTCTCTCTCTCTCTCTCTCTCTCTCTCTCTCTCTCTCTCTCTCTCTCTCTCTCTCTCTCTCTCTCTCTCTCTCTCTCTCTCTCTCTCTCTCTCTCTCTCTCTCTCTCTCTCTCTCTCTCTCTCTCTCTCTCTCTCTCTCTCTCTCTCTCTAACTTCTGCCCAACTATCCCGTTCGCCCTTTATTTTCTCGTCTGTCCCACTCGAGTGGCATGAGTATACAGAAATGTGAGATCAATAGGGTGGAGAGGGTGGAAGCCACCCCCGACGCTATTTCGTGACTCATAATACACACTTGTTCGAATCCATAATAGGCTTTATTCGTAACTCTTAGTTTCCAAACTATTTTTACGGTATACCTTTTTTACTTGCTTTTATTTCAGGGTGCGCTGTTCTTATCGATCGTCTCCATAAACCTGCTCGTTTCTCCCCCATGTCTGTCCTCTCCCTCTCTCTCTCTCTCTCTCTCTCTCTCTATACCCCATTACTGCTGCAGACGTGAGCCGTACCAGAATCCCGGAAAAGTGAAAGAAAAATAAAGGAAGCATTTCCTGAAGAGAGAGCGGGCTTTTTCAAGTGCTCTTTAAAATTACCAGGCTCGCACATTCTCGACTTTCTTACATGGAATTTTTGAGGAATAGTTTGTCTTCTAATTATCTCTGTGCTTTGAGAGAATGTGAAAGGAAAAAACGATGGAGAAACGAAAGAAATATTCCCCAAGAGAAGTGAAATTTTCACAATATCGTTGAAAGTCGTATTATCGTAGGAATTTTTACAGTCCCAGAATTTTACCCATAGATTATTTGATCTCTGGAACTTTTTTAAGCACTTGGAGCTTTACGCACTTGCGTTCTGCAATATGTAAATTCGAACAAGAAGGAATGCAGATGAATAAAGGACGCGTTGGAGGATCTGAGATATCTCTCAGATATCGGATTTTATTCGTTGAACGAATTGTTCGCTCAAGCGTGGCCGTCCTTCTGCGAGAATACCTTTTTGGATAAGGTCGCACCGGGAGGGGGGGGTGAGTCATGCCCGCTGGTGCGTTTTCCATGTATCGACCTGCGGCAGCAGGGAAACGCAGGATTGGTCGGCGGAAGCACACTAGCCTCGAATTCACGGTGTCACCTCGACAGTCATCGATTTGGCATAATGGAGTATATAATCTAATTTGTTTCTATCGAATCGTCCAGCAATCAAATCAGCATGAAAACGGCAGTGGAAATTGGATGCGCTGTCGTTCCGATGCTATAGAGGCATCAATACTTCGATCACGCTGGTAAAGACTTTATATATATATAGCGAGAAGGGTACAATGTCCTCAATTTATTAAAAATAAAACAAACGCTTTCGATAGACTTTTTATCGAAAGCTGATTTTTATAAATTCTTCAAACACAAGTTTCAATGTTATCAACGCACGTAAGTAATTTCTATTTATGCGAATCAATCAATGTTCGAATGTTCGGATTATTTCCGATAATTACTCAAAATATTGGAGTTTTCGGATACGAAGATAAACTTAAAGATGCAGGAATTCGTTCTGAATAGTTCGTAGTTATCGACGTTTCCAATGCGCGATATGCAAATATTTGCATCTCTCCCGACGTTATCAACGTTTCGCGTATCCGGCGTGAAGGAAAAACGGAGTTTAATATTCCACGCCGAGATAGCGAGCGGGGCTGGAGGAGAGAAAAGAACCGATCGCCGTTCCACGCGTGTGCACGAAAGCCGCGGTTGGACTATCACCTGCGCTACCAGTTCTCCGTTATTTCATTGCAAATTGCTCGAGCCACGCTTAGAGTTATACAGTTATCACAATGAGAAAGTTGTTCCGATCCGACGTAGAGAGACGCACGAGTAACTTCGTCGTGATCGCGACCCGAGTGCGACTCAAATTCGCCGCATAAAGCTATAAACCTTGAGTGGGCAAAATAAAATCACCACGTGGGTCACGAAGAGTAAATTTATAGCTTAACCCTTGACCCAACGGGCGACGGCCCATGGAAAATATATCATTCCCGTGTCTTTTTCTTCTCATTTCTACTTCTTATTTTTTCCAATGTTATTCACGACAAAGATGATGGATGATATTGCGAATATCGTCGTCCTCCTTGCGCGATGCGTCTGAAATAATAAGAGACCGACAGAGAGGAAGAATTCAAAGTTTATTAATAGGCGAATCTATGACCTTCACAAATCGAAGAATTTGTAAAGTTAAGACTGCATACATTTCAACTAGCCTTTATTGATTCAAGGGCTGCGAAGTCCGTAGCATTCATGATTTGAATGAAAAAGTGACGAGCGCTTCTGCTTGTAGGATCTTTGGATTTAAGGCAGCAATTCAGTAACAAAATTCAGAAATTATTAATTTAACGAATGATATCGATTGAATCTTTTAGCAGAGGAAATTGCCATAGGTGCGAGAGATGAATGTCCCGCTGACTTATAGGGAGGGTGCATCAATTTTTTGTCGTATTTATTTATTAATTCGTTCACGGCTGAGTGGAGAAAAATCTTGCGCGATTTCCTCCTTCCGCTGTACATCGTTCGGTTGGCCAAGCCGCAAATCGCGGACACGTGACTCAGGTGTTCCGGTCGAGATCTCGTTGTTTTTTGCGCCATAAGGTGGCAAGGTGAGACATCGCGAAAGGAGACGAAGAAGGACGCGCTCGCGAGGCACGCACTCAGGCTGTAAGAAGACGCGCGTGGCCCTTGAATGGCCGCTCGTTGGGAATGAAAGTAACGCGTTTCGAATGCCAGCCATACGTGCAGACCAAGCTTTTGTCTCTCTCTCTCTCTCTCTCTCTCTCTCTCTCTCTCTCTCTCTCTTCGCCGCGACTTGTAACGCAGCCTGATTTATCCTTAAGCAAGCGTCATGGCGTAAATGCTGAGAGATACGATCGTCCTTGAACGATAAAGCTCACATTCCGTCTTGAGTAGCGAGACTCGATCGCCAGGCTCGAAGATGTTGTTTGCGGCATGTTCCTGCGATTTTCCAATTTTCCAGAAACCGAGAACTGTAAAACTCGTATCTTCTATGACGAAAGAAGAAGAAACGTGCGCCATTATATCGTCAGCGTATGATGCGTCTGCAGTAATCTTTACTCCGAAAAATTGAACACGCTGTTAAGACGGACGGACGGACGGCATAAAATGCAATTTTATTACTTGGAAGAATTATTTATTTTTCCATGATATTATTTTGCAATTTATATTACTTACATAATTTTTCACGATTTCCTTCTTTCTCTTTCGTAATCGAGTCATTAAGAACACGCGAAGATATGAAAAATTAACGATGAGGAAACTATGCTGCATGTTTACACCATTAAGTGTGAGAAATGGATGTCCCTGCGAAGAAGGGATTTGACTCATTTATCTCCCAGCTGATGATGTACCGCGGTTACGAGCACTTATGATTCGCAAATATATTAACGTTGTTTACGCGTTTTCTCCAGGCTCAGAGTAACTAAACGACGATAGCGTGTCCAGTTTCACTTTTCGTGCCGAGCCGCTAAACGACGTTCGGAAATCTTTCCGCGCGCGTCGCGCTTGCGAAATTCCTCATTGTCCCGTGGTAGTGATGGAGGTGTAGGAAGGGGAGGTGGAGGAGGAGGAGGAGGAAACGAGGGGCGTATGTGTGCCAAGAGGTTTTTCTCAGTCGTCGACCGCGATAGATACGGTCGGATTGTTCGTTCAACGGAGAAAAGTCTTCACTCTTTTGACGGACGAAATTTGCAGTTGAGAGAGCGAATAGCTTGAAAATAATGTGCTGAAGGATAAAAATATCGTCCTTGAAAACAAGATCGTTATCATCTTTTTACATGACTCTTAAGTACACTAAATTTCTCGTTCACCCTTCGTGATGATCTCAAGATAAAAATACATAACGTAACCGAATACTTAATTACTGATTTGCTGATATTATGTTACGTCAGCTTCTAATCTGTCCGTTTCGGCGACTCTGGAATATCTTCAATGTTTCATAAGTGATGATGCGTACAGATTTTTATATGTGAAGCGGAAAATCTCGAACGTAAGACTGTATGATCTTTTTTGTCTGTGCTTTCAGGACCAGTTCGAAAATCTGTCCCTGCATACGCAGAAAGGGATAGAATTCCTCGAGAGATATGGCCACTTCGTACGCGATCGCTGCGCTATCGAAGTGGAATATGCAGCGAAACTCAGGTGAGAAACGCAACATGTTCAAGAGAGACTATAGATCGAAAGAAAAATGAAAAATGGAGAAAAAGATTTCGAGAGACGTGACTGACACTTTTTAGATACTTTCGGAACGTTTGTCGTCAATAGGATTCGTTGCCTATTGTCCTATCTTTTATCTTTCATTTTCTCCTTTGTTTGAAAGTAAACGTCTCGCGAAAGATATGAGTGTGGAAACTGCGTGAAAATGTGCCTCTCTTTCCTACGAGTTATGAAGATAATTGATATTTTATGAAGATGAAACTCTGCAGCATAAGCAGGTGCTGCAAGGTCCGTCAATGCTCTCGTGCACCTTACACCTTGCACCCTGTCGTGCGGGTCGTGTTCGTACTGCTTCTTTTTTCCGAGGTGCCCGGACAAAGGGTGAGGCATCCGAGGCGGACGTTTTCAATGGGACATCCTGTATAACGAGCGTGTCTCACGCACCCCGTGAGTTCAGGGACGCTGGATGTGTAGCTAGTAATATTGTGTTAAAGGGATCCCTTGTCCGCTCCGTGAATGCCGTCCACTGTGGCGCACTTTTGTTCTATCGGGTGTCTCGAAATCCACCCACTCCCGCGCCTAATTACTCCGTTTTGCATTACGCTTAATTACTTGGTCGCGTTCTTCGGCGTTATTGTGCGCCGCGTGTCGCGCGAAAACGACACCTGCACACGATATCAATCATAACTAACATCGCAGCCCATCCTACGACTCGGTGAAAAATTCGCAAAGGCACGACTAATGCGGCACCGTGCAAATTCGTCCCGACGAAAATAACATTCCAGGGAAATTAATTTGCAGAGGAGCGACGAATTATAATTAGACGATGCTACCAATTATCATTACTGTATGTTTGTATTATTAACAAAAATATATTGAGATTATGCTATTGTTGAAACTGTAGGGTCGAGCAGCTATGCAAATCTCAGGCCTCGAGCGAGGTGCGAGCATCGTTAAAGTGGCATCGGTGAATTTTGACCCTCGAAGTGCACGAGGGGGTTAATCGAAGCGCGGTCGTGCTGGAACGAGTGATGATTTCGCGCGCTTCGCCGCGCACGTTCGCCTCGCTGTTGCATACGCGCAAATCATCGCGAGTGCACTTCCCCCTCGTCCTAATGCCGCCGCAATACCCGTCGTCCAACGACGATTCACTTTCGTGCAAAGTCGCGCGGTCAGCACTCTTCTTAGGTACTCTCACTCTAGGGCACCATTGGAAAATTTACCCGCGATTCCGTATAATATTCGACAAATTACCCGGCTACCAACTAACCGGAAAATTACCCGCGAGCACGTAACATCCGGAACACACAGAGTTGGCGGCGTTGGTGAAGTGTCCGGAAGAAAATCACGTCCGTACTATAATCTCTCTCGAAAATTCTCAGGGCCAGCAAAAGGGAGGAGAAAAGTTACCTGCCGGCTCGGGATACTAACTGGATAATCGGATAACATCCGGAGAATTGCCCGGACTGTACCGCGAATTAACACTGCGGAATCTCGAGTGCACAACCGTTCCAGATGATATAGCACTTCCTCGTGTCATATGTGATGCATCTGCGTGTTATCTATCCGAAGCGAGCTTTTGAAATTTTGACGGTTTTACCTTGTGAAATGATCCTGAATAATCCAGGCGATTTTTGGACGTAAGGGGCACCTTGTTCCTCTTCGTGTTCCCTTTTTCTCGTTTCGCTGCGATTTTTCCGCGGGATTCTCTTCACGTATCTCTCCACACCGTATCAAGGGCAGAGCACGTCAGATGCCGCGCGATAGCGTATTTATAGTCCGGTGGCGCACTGTAAAAATTCAAAACGACACGCCCAGATCCGCGTTTAATCCCGCGCCAGACCGAAAATAATACCGCGTGCTCTCTCCCTTTCTCGCGAGAGATCGCTGATAGTCGTTTCGATTATCGCAACCGCGCGAGTTCGTGATTTAACTCTCCGCGATGCGCCATCACTTCGTGATGCAAAAGGACGCGTATGAATCTGCGACCGCACGAAGGGCCCGCAAGTGGAGCTGATCGCCGTCCTGGTGAGACAAAGAATCCGCGAAAAGCAACGGTGCAACGACGGTGGTATAGAAATCACTTCCTGTCGATTCACTTCCGGGTTACCTAATAGCTCTGTTCGTGCTAATTATATAAGCAATGCTGGCGATATAAGCCGCGATGTCATTTCACCTCCGTGAGAACGACACGCGTGCACCAGTAATCTCCTTTCCTTTCTTTGTCGCAGGCGTCTCGTGAAGAGCTATCAACCGAAGAAGAAGGAAGAAGAGGATTATCAGTAAGTATAAAGCTACATTCTCTCTCTCTCTCTCTCTCTCTCTCTCTCTCTCTCTCTCTCTCTCTCTCTCTCTCTCTCTCTCTCTCTCTCTCTCTCTCTCTCTCTCTCTCTCTCTCTCTCTCTCTCTCTCTCCCTCTCTCTCTCCCTCTCCCTCTCTCTCTCTCTTCTCTTCTCTTCTCTTCTCTTCTCTCTTGGATTAGCGACGATCATAGATAAGTTCGTTGAGTACACATATGTGTACAAAACATGAAAGAATACAAACATGTATTTAAATCGCCCGCAACTGAGATACTATAAATTACAGCACTAGAGATGATCGAGAGAAATAGATACTATATTTTGACGGTTAAAAATGCAATATCCTTTTCCAAGATAATTGAAGTTCATAAGATTAAAATGGCGTAAATCAGTGTTCATTTATTTGTCGCCTTGTAGAACATAATAGGATATTTGTTCTGCTGTGCTATGTACCGAGAAATATTACGAAATATTATAATTTGCCGTAGAAAAAGTCTCGTTTTTGTAAATTATCGATTTCATGTCGAGTCTCGCGAAACACAAGGCATTTCGACTAAAATAAAACGAATTTCATTATGAGATGAAAAGCTCGCGGTTGCTGCGCAAAATTCGCTTATTCATCGAGTAAAAACGGACGCGCGAACCTTGATAGAAAACAGAAGCGGTCCGTTTATCTCATTGCGTGGGCAACATACTTTATAAGTTCAATAACTTCGTAAGAGACCCTCGCATTCTCTTGACCAGACCTTCGTCGTGCGTCACGCTAATCAGCGTGGGCCGAGATTTCGGCTTTTTGTGTTCCGCAAAATTGACTCGCGCTGACGCTACTTCATTTAACGTATTTCGCAAGCACACCCTGAATTTATTTCTTCCACGCGTCTTGATTATGCTAAATTGGAAAAAATTGTGTTACGTTAAACCAGTCAGTGTCATTAATATAAATGTGATTGCCAGGTATAGTCCTTGCCAGGCGTTCAAAATGGAACTGAACGAGGTTAATGATCAGGCCGGCCAAAGAGAATTGATTGCGGAAAATCTCTATGCTAACGTTCTACGAGAGTTGAACATCCTGGTGAAGGACTTTAAGGAAGATCGTAAGAAGCATTTGCAGGAAGGTGCACGACTGATGGCTACTTTAGCTGGCCAAATCGGCAACCTTGAGCGCGCTAGGAAGGCCTATGAGAAGGCTTTCCGCGAGGCGGAACGTGCCGTTGAGAACTATCAGCGAGCAGACGCGGATCTAAATCTCTCGAGAGCAGAGGTACGTGGTAAATTCTTCTTTGTTTTGATCAACATACTTTTTGGAAAAAAGAAAATCTCTAGCTTTTACAAATGTACCGTTTGACGTGAATTTAGATTTTTTAAAATAAAATTTCAACAAGCATGATGAGCTAATCGATTGTTTTGCAACGCCTAGGTCGAGAAACAGAGGATGAACATGACCCTGAAGACCCAGCAGAGCGAGGAGGCTAAGACGGAATACGCTAATCAGCTGCAGAAGACGAATGATATGCAGACGTTGCATTACCACACAGCGATGCCGGAAGTGTTCCAACATCTTCAGGTATTGCTTTGTGATAACCAAATACAATTGCATTCGCATCATCGTACTTGGTTGCATTTATTGTAATATTTCGTATCGAGAGAGATATTAAAGGATCTTTTATGTCAACGTACATAAAATTTAAAAATGTTTATTGTCATTTAAAAGATTGTAAAAATTTAGTATGAATTATTGCAACGATATTCCATTTAATTGTAATGTTTGCGATTTTATATTATATGTAACGTTTATGCTATAGGAACTAGACGAAAAAAGGATAAAGAATATGCGGAACTATATGATGAAGTCAGTGGAGACCGAACGAGCAGTAGCGCCGATAATTGCCCAATGTCTTGATGGCATCGAAAATGCAGCGAACGAAATCAACGAAAAGGAAGATACGCTGCTAGTTATCGAACGTTACAAGAGTGGTTTCCAGCCTCCTGGCGACTTTCCCTTCGAGGATCTGTCAGTTGCCAAAAACTACGATAGCAACAGCCAATTGGCCCAGCCAGTCATGCAGCCGATTCACAATCATCTCACAGTCAAAGGAACCGTCTCCGGCGGCAAGATCAAAAAGAGGGTAGGCCTTTTCGGGATCTTCAGCAGTAATAAGGTAGATATTCCTCCATGGTTTCTTTGGAAACTCATCACAAATTTTTTAATGCTGTTGGGTACGATATTCGTAATACTTACTTAGGGTGTTCTAAAAGAATAACTTTAGAAATACATATGATAACATAGTGAAAAGTCGTGAGTAATTTTAATTTATTTGTTAAACTCCTTTAAACTCTTTGTCTTACGTTTTATGAATGTTTTTATTAAATTTTATCGATTTTATCAATTTTAATCTCTAATGTAGAACAGTATCTTTTCGAGCACTCTACACGCTACAGCACATTAATTCTTGCGGAATCGTGAAGTTTACCGGTTTGATCTAATCAAATTATCATCATGGTCTTTTAACACTGATCATATATTTAGTAAATTTTCGTAGTATCCTGAAGAAATTGAACTGCAGAACTTGCACAATTCCAAACAAGAATTAACGCAATCTACTTATTGCTTTTATAAGTGAGAAGGAACGGATAAATAGAATAATAAAAAATATTACAGCATGCACGAAAATCCTTTGAAAACACCGCTATATTATGTAATTATTTGTATTTATCACTTATGTACATATATTGGTATTTTCTTATTCGCCGCCAGGCCTGCGATTTATTGTGCACACAAATTTCTATTGCGCATGTATATTATAGTAGATTTTGCATTCTCTCCAGCAGCTATAATATTATTTACCAGCGACTTTTCAGTTACGTTTTGCGCATTGTTATCTATTATTATTTGGAACGAATTATTATTTTTACGCATCTTTTTGATTATTACTCGAAGCGATTTTTGTGTCTGTATACCTTTTACAGTGCTTTACGATACCGTAGAACTTTATTTATCGAAAGCTTTAATGAAGCTTTGGCTAGATAATTTTTTAAATATCAATTTTTAACTGTATTTTATCAAAACAAAAAGAACTCTGTACTCTCTGTCTAATAACTTCATCAGAAGTCAACGAATTGAACTCGTCCATATCTTTCCATATTTTATACGTCCCAACTTGTAACTTACAATCTCTCTTATGTTCGATTTCGCATAATGAAAAACGTAACTTATTTTTCTTCTGTACTTTCTATTAATTTGGTGGATGGTTCAATCTGCCTGTGGCGTTCTTGTTTCCAATCATCATGGGCTATGAATTGGGATATTATCATATTTAGTAAGTACCCTGTAGTTTCGCTTATCTGCTTACAGTTGTGTATATAATATCGGCAATTTATCTGCCTTTTAAAAATAAATTATATATGATATCAAAATGTTTTATTAGAAAAGCGTGAACTTAGCGATTAAATATTAACTCCGATATAACAAATTTTTTTGCAAAATATTAGTAGATTTTTTTATAACTATTATAAAATGTAATAGTTATTTGAAATTATACTGTCCATAAATTAAATTGAATTCGATTCAGAATTTACCGTAAACGTGATTTACACTAGAAAATCGAGAATCCATTTAAATTAAAAAATTTTTTTAATGTAAAATTTATGGATCTGTACAATAATTTGAGAATTTAACTTTAATTTGCCTTGCCATATATATAAGCTATAAAGCTATTATTATAATAAAGATATCACTTCTTTTCGTATTATGACACATGAAATATCTTTATATTGCTTGAGATTAGTATTTTCGAGATAACGATCTCTAAGTTCTCGTTCACTGAAAGCGAGCTTTTATTGCTAACAGTTCGTCTTGTTCATTCGCTGAATGATACGCTTTTGGGATTTGTTTCATGCGAACAACAGAAGTTGATCGAGGTGTGCATAGCTTTAAAGGTCTGTCCTTCTCTATACAATCGCCGTCACTTTCCGATTAACCCTTTTGGTGCGCTGAACGCTTACAAGTGCTCGACTTGCTTGTCTTCTTTATTCTTTATATGCAATAGTAAATAGGTGAAACAAAGAGGAACGATACCTCTTTTGAAGTAGAATTGTGGCAATGAGCAATTCAATTATTCCGTAGAAAATTAAATTGAAGGAAGCCTTACATTTGCGAAAGCTCAGGTTGTGAAATCCGATTTTAATGAAGTCTATTGGTTTATCTGAGTTCACGAATTTATTGGAATTACGATAATGTTAGAGGAATTATAATTTAATTGTGTATTTAATGCATATACTGATTTTGCAGCACCAAGAGGGTTGGACGCCACCCCCATTTCTGAAATCATTTCGTTATCTTTATTTTTCATTATTTTATTGCAGAAAATACATTTTACCCATTATTGCTTAAAACAACGAATAATATTGAACTTAATATCAATATATCAAAGTTAATATCAATATATGCTGGCTTTCATTAGTAACTTCCTCAAATCTGTAATGAAAGTCCTCTAACAAAATGTGTTTCCGAGTTTTTTCATCATCCTTTTTTTTGTTCATTTCTTGAGACCCATATTATAAGTATTAAACTTCCAGTCAAAAGTAAACAAATTTTTATCAAGGTGAAGTTTGGAATGGAAAGTTTTGGAATTGAAATTTCCCTAATTCGGAATACATTGTCATTATAATATAATTTAAGGAAATTAAAATTGAAATATTGAAGTAAATTGATATAGTATATCTTCTTATCTATAGTATATCTTGTTTCGGTGATAACGTCGTTCGGCCGCAAAAGATTTCTTGGGTCTCAAGTAGTTGAATGTATCTAAAATAGTTTTGTATAAATAAAACTCATTACAACAAATTTCAGAATAATGTGCCTGGTTACGGCGACGGCGCTAAGGAGGACTGCAGCGATTTGCCACCGAACCAACGGAAAAAGAGATTGCAGCAGAGACTGGATGAGATCCAGGCGAAGATTCAGCAAGAGACCGCGGCAAGGGACGGTCTGATGAAGATGAAGGGCGTGTACGAGCAGAATCCCGCTCTCGGAGACCCGATGAGTATAGAGGGGCAGTTAAACCAGTCCAGCAATAAGCTGGACAAACTCGGAGCTGAGTTGGCAAAGTTTCAAGGCTACCTCGAAGAAGCAATGCGCGTTGGCGTCAGTTTGTCTAGGTAAGAATGGCATTGTTAGAGAAACCGCTGAAAGATTTGTATCCGTATCCGTCGTTTGCATAAATAGCTATTTTAAAGGAAAAAAGATTCAGATTCAAATAAAAGAATAATATATTTAATCAGCTTTTAGATGTTTAATGATGGGTATTTATACAAAATAATGATGTACAGTTTTACGACTTTTTTTTCATTATATTTAGAACTTTACAAATTTTATTAACTTTGTTATGTTTTTTTAGCCCAAGTCAAGCACCACGGAAACCCACTAGTAATGGCTCGGCAACGAGACCGTTGAGTTCACGAAGATCCAGTCACTCGGGCGGTGAAGAAAGCCTCTCGAGGTCCGCTTCGGACTCGAGCGTCAGTAACGCGAACGCGAACCAACCCGTTTACAAGAAAAGCGCACCGGGCACGCCGCAGCCGACGCATGGGTAAGTCGTTTTGATAATATACGGTGAAGTGTGATACTATTTTCATACACGCAACTATTTTTATACACGTAAGTTTGAAAATTTTGTAAACTTTTCGATTTGTGAATTGATTCTGTTATTATTTGCGCCGAGCGCGCTTCAGATTCTACGAATATTGTTCCGTCGTTGTTATTATAATATTATATCGTATATTCTCCGTTTTATAACTTTCTTAATAAATCTGTATTTAGAAATATAACGACGACTACAACTCTCATCCGATGGCTCTTATCTTATCGGTAGCGACGAGCATAAGTAACAGAGATAATATTTCCGATGTTACCATATGAGTCATGAGTTTTGTACCCATTTCAAATTATGTCAAATATAACCCCATCGTCCACAGATCCGAATTAAATCGCGATCTGGTCGCGTGCAACCGTTCCTTCCCACGAGAATATTCTGTTTACAATATCGGTCAACATAAGTGAGAGTAGACTAGACATTTACACTAGACGAATAGCCACGGTTTTCGTTTTATGGTACTCATGCACAGTTCCACGAACAGCCCGGAATCTGGTCTCGGCGAGTCGAGAACGTCGTTACCTGGCAGCGGTGGTGAAGAATATTATGTTGACGAGGTAGACGCGCAACCGCCATTAGGAACATGCCGAGCGCTTTATCCTTTCGACGGTAAGAAATAGAGAGAGAGAGAGAGAGAGAGAGAGAGAGAGAGAGAGAAAGGTATTCCTCGAAAATTTTCAATCTCAAACATAGTTTAAAAGGAAAGAAAAACAACAAGCAGTTGTTTCATTTTCACTATTGCACAATTGCTATTTATTCGTATGTAATATTTTACGGAGTAACATTTTTATTAAATTTTATACTCTTACAGCGACCAGCGAAGGTTCCATACCCATGTACGACGGAGAAGAACTATACATGATCGAGCTGGATCAGGGAGACGGCTGGACCAGAGTTCGACGCATTTCACAACCAATCGAAGGCTTCGTTCCAACTTCGTACATCGAGTGTCATCTGTACAACACTTAGCCGCTTCTCTTAGGACATTGAGAGAATTGCGTGTGGCGCGAAACTGCTCGAAAGAGATTACTGTCGTGGGCTTATAAGCATAGGGCACCATCGCGGACTTGAGGGTCATGTGTTGGTTAAATTTCGCACGGGACATCGACCACAGTGGCTAGCAGGCCTAAGTGAAAATAATATAATTGAACTATCTGCTCCAACTGGGAAACCCGAAGGATCTCATCAAGAATTCTCGAGGACGCAATCAAAGATTCGCCGATCTTTTGAGTGCGTTGCGCAGCTCAAAATCATGTGTCATGTAAATTGTGAATCTTAAAAACCTACAATTGAGGGTTCGATAATTAGTTCGATGAGTGTATAAGAATCAACATAGGTTGATTTCCAAGATATATCAATCTCAGAAAATTTTAAACCAGAAAGATATGAAAGTCAACAATCTGCTCACTGTTTTAAGGTTATTAAGTGTATATTCTTGCAAAATCAGGAAGTCCGTTCAAGGTTCACGATCTGGAAATCTGTAGAAAGAATTCATAAAGTTGCACGATAATATCGTCGACGTAATTGCGTCCATCGTCGAATATCGCACGCGTTATTACTTCCAACACACGTCCCTCCGGATCCCTGATCGATCAGCCGTTAGTTCGGTCAGGAATGTAAGAATGATATGCGAACAAAACAAAATGCCCCGCTTTGTGATCAATCAATATAAGCGTAATAGAAGCGTAGAATCGAGCTCATTCTCGGGCTTACTAGATCCCTAAGAAAATTAAATCCTTGTCCGGATTGATTAGGGCGCCGTGACTCTTCCCAGCAAAGCAAATTAACAATCCTAATCTTTTTGGTCATAATTATGTTAAATTATAATTATTGTATCGATTATGTGTTAAATAGATATTATTAATAATGAACGTAATATTTAAAGTTACTCGACTATTTTCTCTCATTCTAATTGTGCGTTGTTTCTAGAAAAAGTTGCAGCGGCCCTACAGTCTTTTTCGCTTTTCATTCCGAAATTATTAATTAATATTAATAATTGTTAATTCTTTATTATTAGGAAAAGTTTCAAGCGATAGCTATTGCTCTATATTATTTATCGCGAAGAACCACATCGCTTTTACATTCTGCGTTAAGTTCGCTATTCGAAGAAATAATCTAAAAATAACAGTTATTGCATCAGTCTCGTGAATATTTTTGTTTAAGATTACTGTACTATCTTGCAGACTGTGTATTACGTTTTAATTTGTCAATATATTTTTTTATTTTAAAGTACTTTCATATAAAAGACAGCGACAACCCTGAATATTTACCTATTTACTGTAGGAAACTTGTAAAAATCCAGACAAGGATTTAATTTATACATCTGTACGATAGTGTTATGTCCAATTATATGCAGATTCAGTTGTACGCATTTGAAACTTTTAACCCTTAAGCAGATGCAAATGAAAACAGATCAACAGTTGATCGGCGCGATTATTAATGAAAATCGCAATTAGAAGTAGATAACAAATTATAATTTTAATCGCAATTGAAATGATGAATTTTATAGGAGAATTGACCTGGAATGAAATTAGAAAAAAAAATTACAACGCGCGATATGCTTATCTTTATAAAAACCTATACACCTAGTTTCTGTAACTTAATTTTCGGGAATTAATTGAAAACAAGTTCTAAATTCGTTGGCTGCATTTCAAGTTGCATTGAGTAAAAAGTGGCCAAAACGTATCGAAACCAAGTATATAGATTTCTTATCGCTTCTGCGATTGCGGCAATACGTCTGCTTGAGGATTAAAGCACGAATTCTTCGAAGGATCCGACATAGAGACGTCGTCGGGCTGCCCTCGATACACTCGCGGCTTCTCAAAACGTGTCCTCTGCGCGTAGCTGTGCACGAACGAAACATTTACGACCCCGTTAAAGAAAGTAAACTATCTTAGTATTAATAATCGCATCCCGCCTACTCGTCACTCGTAAATTAATTGCGACCGTTGTAATCGTCGCTGCACCGAAGTTTTATCGTTCTTTTATCAACTTGATTCGACGTCGTAAAAGGCAACCGACTGTCTCGCGAACGGTTCACTGTCACGCTGAGAGAACAAGAGACTGACCTTTGCTGGAGTTTCATCATACTCGCTATCCGAAATTTGGCACTTTCGTGCTTGTAATCAAAATTGCAGGGTACGATGAAATTCTAGGAATCAAAAGTGTGACACTAAGAATCGATCGAATGTAATCGATTCAAATTATCTGGTAGCTGGAGCTTTTGCGGAAGATTATTAAGTTCCGCAGAGGAGAAAATTGATACATTTATGTGTACACATGTGTTAGAGTTTGTGAAAATGAGAATCTTCAGAACGTGGACAATCCTCGAGGATCCGTGAACTGCGGCACCGAGAGTTCTACTTTCACATTCGCCGATTCGGTGCGACGAAAAGTGAGCCGTTCCAACGGAACAGTCCGGCACGCCATGTTTATGAAGTTGCCTGAATGTGAATCTAGTTAGCGATAGACTTATGTAAATATTGCCAGGAATGCGGGAGCGGTAAAACGAGGCGAGTAGCTATTGAGCGTGCGAGTGCCAGAATCGATATTAAGCCGCGCAGGACTCGCTTTCGTAACGGACAGATTCGCAGGCAAAGTGTCCTGGAAGGATTTGCGACATCTGGGAATTTCAGACTCAGATATTCCAAGGAAAGTCCGCGCGAACGCGAAAGCCTGCCGCGTTCGTCCTAATTTTGCGAAATCCGGGAATCGTGTAACCGTATTTTCTCGCGCATTGACAAAATGTATATGTATATATTATATATATAGATATATATATAAATATATTCGATCGTCAACAGGCGTAGCTTCACTATAGTTAGAAATATGCAAGTACACAATTGAATAAGATTCATAGTTCACCCAATACTCACATACGTACACACACACACACACACACACATATGTACACATATACACTTTCCTGCTTTTCGTCGCGGCTGCTTCCGGTTCGTTAACGACGAAAGCAAGTGAAATGCTCGGTAATTATGTTAAGATGATGAAATACCGGCCGTTGCGTGCTCTGACGTTTAAATGTGTCTGTTCTATGTATATTTTGTGATTTTCTATACACGAACAAGTATTGTAGATAACTAATTCTGCGATTCATTATACTTTATTATTATTTTTATTATTATTATTACTATTATTATCATTATTATTAATATTGAGAAAATATAGGTACTAAACCAATGTATCTGTTTCAGACACGTTACTACAATCTGACTAGTAATTATGCCTCTCGACATCCAGATATCCTCCCTCGCATGTAAATATTTGATTTTATATTATACAAATATATATATATATATATATATATATATCGAAACTATATTAAGCCTATTCGTTTTAGTTAAACTTTTTATACTTTTCTTTTTTTTTTTTTTTTTTTTTTTTTTTTTTTTTTTATTCAAAGTATCTAAACTTATAGTCTTTGCCAGAATAGTTGAGACCTTCTTTTCCTTAAATAATCGAATTCAGTTTTATATAAATCATTCATATAAAAATAATATGATAATTATTGTGTGAGGAATGAATGTGTGTGTGTGTGTATTTATCAAATATAGTTGTTACAGTTAATATAATATTCTTATTTGACAGAATATATATAGAAAGTATATAAAAGTACGACATATACTAAGCCACTAAGGAATCAAACAGATTCTACAGCGCGTGCACGGCTGCCACATAGTCTGTTAGTTTCGCGCCGCGCTGCACCATATTTATTTATCTCGTTGTAGTTCCACATTTTTTCGTGTTTCTTAGCGATTATATTTAAATATTTTTTTATAAATGAATGTCGTGAGAGCCGAACAAAATGTTGGACCATCGTTATGTCATTAATTAATGTCTGCAATCATAATTAGCTGCGGTTTCCTGTTTTGTTAAACACGCGAGTATTTCGATAAAATTGGAATCATGTATCTTTTCGACATGAAATTATCGCGAATTGAAAACTCAGCGACGCGACGGCGTGATTCGATGAATGAATTTCACATCTAACTACGAAAACGCACAGAGAAAATCTGAAATCCAAGAATACTAAAGGCGTTAATTGTATTTTTGTTAATTTTGTTAACACGTAATTGGAAGATTATAAAGAAATTTTTGATTGAGACAAAAGAGTTTAGTCAAGATATATAAAATTAGAAATAGATAGAACAATTTAACAGCTTTGAAGTAATTTGTTTTTTTTTTAGTAGTGTCTTTGAGTTTTTTATTATTTCGTTATTTAATTCAACAGTTTAAATATTGTTCGACATACCCAGGATGCATGCTAGCACATCTATTTCAGTAGACCAAGGTAGCATCGACTTTACCTTCGTCGAAGTTCTATAAGTATACCACTTACGTTTCTATTAATGAACCGTTCTATATGCCTGAAAGTACGATATACATACAGGATAATAAAATTCACAACACGACACTTTTCTATCGTTTATTTTCTGTAATACAGAATGTCGTAAATTTCTGCCTGACTAAAATAGTTTGTCTGTTCCACAAACATTGTGCAGTTCCTATTTTCTCGTTAAAATGGAAAATAGCATCATATTTAATCATGAGATACATTGTATAAAATTTAAAAATTGATATATCGAGAGGTCTTTACCGTATAAAAAAATCAAAGCGTAAAATTCAGATTAATAGTGTAAATATATTCAATTTGCAATACGAGTCATTTCGACACATTGCAAGAATACGATTAGAATACAAATTGCAGTATAATAATTATTACAATCAAAACACGGACGTTCAGTCTAATAAATTAGTAATAAATTTTGCCAATCCAATAAGAAAGGAAGACAAAAGGTGTTCTCATTTTTATTCTGTTATATCGTTATAATGCGTGTCTCACATTGTGTTGAAATTTCTATATAAATCCTTGGATGTATTATATAAAACTAAGGATTTGTGGAAAGTCTAGTCAAATATCTAGGATCTAAAAAATTGAAAATCTACAAATCAAAGAATCCACGAATTGTAAAATCCATGAATCCATAAAGAACGATCTGCAAATCTACAGATCCATACATCCAAGGACGATTGACTAGATAAAAAAAGAAATTCAGAAGACTAAGACAAATTTAAGAATATAATCGTTATTCGCGCTGTTGTATTCGCAAAACACGTACGATTCTATATGTTTGTACAGCTTTGCGAAGATACGCGCAAATTTGCGTCGGCGAATTTATAATTTTTTTCTCGCGGGACACCCTGCATCCATACTGCTAACAGCTACTTAATGGTGTTTCCGTTATTCGTCGCCCTTTTGCATATTAACTCTTTGTACTCGATTTCTACTTACAAAATCTGACTTTATTTGTAATTTATAAATTTATGTTGCATAATAGTCTTCACATCTAAATTGAAAATGCGCATAGCAATTGGGAAAAGATTCTCAACGAACGAAGAATTTATGAAAAATCTCATACTTTTCATCTTTACGTTATTTCGCTATGTTTTGTGAATGTGACATATCGAATCACTTTATGAAAAATTACACAGTAACGTCTCGTTACGTCGTGTTACGTTGTGCGTCATATTCACGATGCTCGAATGCAATGAGTTAAGTATTAAGGAGTGTAGAGCGGCGTGTATACATAAATCGGCAGTCCGTAGCGGTAAATTGTCCATAACGTCGACGGACAACAATTACGTTAAAAATATCGTCGATACAATCGTACGTCCACGAACGACACGCTAGATCAGGAATTCAAGGATCCGCATATACAGATTTCTTTATTCATTACTTGACAAATCCAACCATTCTAAGAATTTGAGACAAATGTTAGAAATCTCCGTCCCAAAGCAGATTCTATGAATCTAAAGATCTACGATGATAAAAAACAAAGCACTCCTCGTTGCAAATGTCTAATAAGATTCCAGGATTCTGGGAACCGGAAATCCTTGAATTCAACAAAGTGTCGAGACATCATCGTTGTCGTTCACGGTTCGTTTGCATCGGGATAAAATCTAAAAATCCACGCGGTACAAAAGAAACACGAGGGATCGATCAATCTCTCTGCGAGATCGACGACTGATCCAGTAATAAAGTACAGATCGCTAAAATAGCATTTACAAATACGATAGAAGCGGACCGTTTCGAGTGGTGATCCGCGCGGTTACCCGTTATCACACACAGTCCATCGTGTTATCACTGTACAAAAAATGTCGATGTTACTGCTAGTCCGCGAAGTTTGAGCAATCTTCGTCGAGAGGACGCGAGGACGGTCTTGTCCGTCGGCCGTCTTCCGCGAGATCGGCTGCTCTCGCGCAGGTTTCAAACGTTCAGGTCCTCCCAACCTTCCACCTGCCGAGGACTCAGCTCGATTTTGATCCTAGTCAGAGTGCCCAAGAGTTCGTGTATTCTGGCCGATAACGGATTCGCCTGAAGATCGACGAATTCCAAAACGGGTGCGTGCCTGAGTCTCTCCACGTCGACCTCTGCGAGAGTGGATAAGAGATGTGAGTCCAACATGGTTTTGAGAGTTTTGAGAGAATTTGTACATTCGAATCGAGGAAAAATGACAATCGCATTTTGCAAGGTATTCCCACACAGAATTATTATAATATATGTAATTTATTAAATTAGTGGAAAAAAAGTTTAGAGTGACATTTTTAAACATTTTCAGATTTGATTTCAATAAATCGTTTACATATTGCGTAAACAATTAACGCTAATGATTGTCTGCAGTCAGAACATTAATTAAGTCAGAACAGAAATTAATTAAGAAATTAATTAAGAAATGTCATACACAACGACTGCTTGGTCGATGAATCATTTATTTTTATTGAATGCGACACAGCACGAAATTTGACGTAGAAATTGAACCGATCTTTCGGCTCACCCGATATATTTGAATAGTGATACAATCATCACGATTGAAATCGATAATGTCGCTATTCGTTCGGATTGCGATCGCGGTTCGTTACGTCGTCTCTGTGACTCCGTACTCCGCACCGCGACCGCGCGTCGGCGGCTGATCGCCGCTGAAAGTCTCTTATGTAACGACGACAAGTGATCGATACTGACCGATGATAAAATTGTTGTTGGCCAGGAGCCGCTTGAGCTGCGGCATCCGCCAGACGACAGGTGGTAGAGCGATGAAAGTGTTGTGCGAGATGTCGAGTCGCTCTAGAGCCTGCAGTTCGGCGAGCTCCTCGGGCAGCTTGCTCATTTGATTGTGACTCAAATTCAGTTCTGCAAACGACAACACACAATGACACGCGTAAAATGCGAGGTAACGAGCAAGTAATGCGATTAAATAGTCATGTTCGCGCCGAACGAGAGCTCGTTCCAAAGTTGTGTGAGCGGCGAGGTTCCTTTAAGAATAAAATAATAATAATAATAAAACGCCAAGGGCGTGGAAGGGATGTCACACACGCGCGCACAATGCAATTTGTCACTCACCGGTGATCAGCGAGAACTTGACGGCGAACTTCGCCGGGATCTTCGTGATCACGTTTCCGGAAAGATCGCATCTCTTCAGTTCCGTGTGTCGCATTAAATGGTAGACCGCGTCTGGGATCTGCATGAGCTGGCACTCCGATAGGTCTAGGGCATAAAACGACGGGACATAGAATTTCCTAAAAAATATAATAAATATGCTGGCAATGTGGACGATTGGGAGGGTCATCGTGATTTACGGCGATACTTTTCGCAAACGGTTTGTCGGGATCTTGCAGTATTCAACGAGACGTGTCTGAATCTTAATAACTGAATCACGTAGATTTGTGAGACTTGGAGAGATACCGAGTTCGCCATCGAATACAGCCGTGAATACAGGCGATTTATTTCCTCAAAAGTTTTTCGTTACTCAACAAAAGTGGAAATACGCCAGTCTAGGTGCATCATAATGGCTGAAAGTGCACTTAATGACGGCACGAGTTTCACGCTTTCTCCGGCGCGGTTTCCAGCACGGAAGACCGCCGACGCTGACGTCAACTCGCGAAGCGAAGCGGGAGTCGCGAGCGCGTTATGGAACAAACGTATTCCGCGTTATATATTTATCGATCATCGCGATCGCGCGATTTTACAGCGGTAGAGCGTGCGGTTCCGGGAGGATAATGAGTACCAGAATGAGTTGAGCGCGATGCGGCAATGCCGACGAATAAACGACGAATGCCAAATTGAATTTGTCAAATCTTTAAAAAACCGAATAATCTCGCAAATCAGACCGCCGCCTCTTGTGCCTCTCGCGTTCTTCGCGCGGCTAACGGAACCTAGTGCGTGATTTAGTTCGCGACACAATTAAAAGTGGGAGATAATAATGAGCCACGGAAGCAACGATGAATTGCAAACCCATCAAGTGTGTATATCAACTGTACGATCGTATGATCGCCGCCTTCGAATTCGCCTTCGGACACAATTGCATCGTTTCGCGTCGCTCGCACTTTCGTAATTCCCGCTACGCGACTGACGTGGATTGCGAAGACACGTGGAAAGTCCGAAATTCGCGATCGATCCCACGGGATTCATAAAATCGCCTCTCTTCGCGCGAATCTCGAGCCGTACGAGCGAGAGAAGTCGCGGAATAGCGCGCGAACGATCGCACCGACCTCGAGCGCTTTCACCGAATTCTACGATATTTTACCGAGGCTCTCGTTTGCCTGCGCCTCTTCGCAGCGCAAAACCACTCTCGTCACCGCGTGCGCCATGTTGGCCGTCGCACTGACTCACCAAGGCGGTCCAACTGCGCTCGAAACACATTTATTTCCGCCGGTACTCTCCGAAATAAATCCCACGACCTCGCGCCGGCCGTGATTTTCATCGCGTTTCTCGGAAACCGGGAAATCGCACGAAGGAAGTCGAGAAAACGCGGACTTTTCGATGCAACGATGAACGTCGAGAAGCTCACGAGTTATAATTCGTTCGCGTCGCGTCGCTTTGAAAAATCGAAAGCTCGACGCGCTACATTTTTTCGCGAACGCTTTGCAATTCTCTGGCCAACTGAGATTTTGCCTTCGACTCTATAGTTATCTTTCAGCTTAGCTCGACGCACATCGCTGCGGCCGCTAGTTAACGTGCGTGCAATCGTTTTTTCGCCACAAAGTGGTAAAAGAGGCTCGATAGCAAGCTGCCATTTAAGGTCGCGCTGCCTTTATACGGAAACTCCTCGCATCGTAGACGCGTCTGTGCGTTTCGCACTGGAAAGTTCCTGCGTTTTTTGGATTCGCGAATCTTTTCCGTACGCGATGCACGTTCTCAGCTGTAAAAGGCGTTTATTGTGCCGGGAGCAACAATGATAAAAAAAAAAGACAAAACCTCGTTCAATCAGCAATTAGCTACTTTCGACGAGTTTAGCTTATGAAAATTAACTTATTTAGAATCCAACGTTCAATTAATTTTGTATCGTAATTAAAATGTCCCAGCGTGGTAGTTGAGCTGTTATTTGAAAGTAAACGACACTGTTTTAAGGTGAAAAAGAAAAAAGATACGGAAACATCTCGAGCGCAATGGATTAGTTTTTATTGTTTATTGATCATCACGACAGATTAGTCTTGACACTTAATTCTAGCAACGCTCAGCTGACTGGTACAAATTTGGCGAAGAGGCATTTGTCCGCTATATATCTTCCGCCGGCGACGTGCGCAAATCTGGATTATGTCAGCAGTTCCGGTGGAGTTCGAAATCCGTGATTCTCGAATTTGGATCGGAACTAAGAGAGGCAGAGGATCCGTAGCGGCCGCGTAGGAGATCGCGATTTTTCCTCGCTGCTCAGCGTCTCGCTGCGTCTCGCTGCACCTCCCGTTTAATACAATGCGAGTATGTATGCAATAAAAAGATTCATAAAAGAGGAACAGCCTCCCAGCGGCGTTCGCAATGGCGTAGATCAGCATTGCCAAGGCTCCGCTTTACTATTCCGAGATCGACCTTTCGCACGTACCGGGTGTCTCGCGATGTACGCGCGAACGCGGCGCGCGTCCGTCGCGAGAGTGAAACTCGCGCGAGTGAGAAAGAGACAAAGACCGGATGCGCGTTGTGTAACGCAATGTTTATCCAGTCAATTATCTATGCTGGAGTATGCCGGAGAGCGAGCATTTCACTTTTATCCGCGCCGGTACACGAGAAACGCCACCCAGTGGTTTATTTACCCGTTCTCCTTCAATCCGTCATCATTGCCGTCACCGGAACTTCCTGTTATTTGAATTGCCGATCGATGTAACACACAGAGTTTTGTAACTCGCTTTGCAAAAATCGCGTATGCCGATTCTTAGCAAGTTTCCAGTCGGTCGTATCAATTTGTACGTCTCATTGCGAGACGATCCTTTTGTTTTTCTTTTCCTTTTTAATTTACCTCCTCTCCCCTGAGTTTGACATATCGAACTTTACTGAGTTTCATCCAGCTTTACTATGACTGGGATTAACATCGCGGTTACGAAACGGCACGGAAACGTTCTCGGCCTGTCATGTGATCAATTTTACGCGACGGATGCGTAATTCGTACTTTCTACAAAATTACACTGTAACTTTTTGTTAAAACTTATAACGAAAGATCGCGATGTAAGATCTCTTTCTCCATCTCTTGCGACACTCGCAGATACATTTTTAATCGTCGTTGCTTGCTTTCTCCTTTCTTTTTCCACTGCGTAGCAACAATGTCACGTGCGTGAGAAAATGTGTACCTTTAATCTGACAGAAGATAGGAAGGTTCGTTAACCACACGACACGAACTTAGTCATCGACTTAGTTATCGCGCGTTTAATGCATCAGATAAGATAGACGAGAATACGCAGGAAAGTGTTATTATGATTCTGTTGTCACCCTAATACAGTCCTATCGCAATTTTGTAACTGATTTACAACGCAAATCTCTGCTCCGTAATTTTCGATCCCCTATGGAGCTTCGGCAGATCTCAATTTAATTAGAATATTATTGACATACCACGCTGACATTTATTATAAATTTTCAATTCCGCGCTGATTCTTGTTTTTCATCCAAGTTTGACTCACAGACTTCGAATTTCACAGAACTGTGGCAAAATTTTGAGTCCACGGTTCAGTCTATATAAACACGTGTTTCTCGAAGCTCATGATTATTCTCTCAACGCTGCAGTGTATAACTTTATGCGAAAGATTTGGCGCTTATATCGATTGTCTTTAATGCCCATGAGAGTGAAACTGTAATCCGTGCGAGATTATAAAGCCTGATGAGAAGCAAAACATAGAAATATTGGCGCACTGAGAGAAGCAAGAGCAGCGGCCATCAAGGTCGCGCACGTAGCCGACGATACGGATAAGGCAAGGGTGGAAGTCATCTCGAATCAGGAAGTACTATAAGCACAGTGCACTGACGTGCGCATATATGGCGTTTGCAAGCTTCGCTTCCTTGTTAAAAGCAATCAACTGCATTTTTCGAACGCCGCTGAATTGATAATGTTAAAAATGTTTCAAGCCGAGGATTCCCACATTTGTCGTAACGAACATGCTTTCTTATGCATTCGTAAAAAAGTCAGTCCCGAGATATCAAATTCGTAATAATAAAATTAAAGAATGCCTCAAAGGATCACACTTACTTCAAATATCTAGGCGTGTTTCTTAAGAAATTTTTTCGGCGAAACGGCATGTTGCAGCAAGGAATCCAAAGTATCCTTTGGATGTTCGAAAGAAGTCTCAAAGATTTTGGGTTACTTTGCTTCTCTCTCGACTCACCTAGATTACAATTGTCCTGGGCTTCCTCGCATCGCGCGATTACCCTGATGATCGCGCGGCCAGCTAGTTGCACGCAGACCGCCATCGCGACATTCCTCTCGCCTTGTTCCTGTGAGATCTGCTGTACCTCCTCGGTATTGTACGCGGGTGGCCTCATGATGATTCTATCTTCACTCTTGTCTTTATAACGAGAGATTTGCAATGTGCTCAACAAATTTGGCGTTTGACTGCAAGTTCGTTGGAAATCAGCATCGATCTTCGCACATTCGTCGAAGGGAATCTTACGCTCTTGCGCGAAAAAAAGTACTAAATATTTTAATTATAAAGTATTTAATTTCTTTGCCGTGATATTTATCGACCTCTTCTCTTCTTGACTTCGTTACGTCGCTAAGACATTATATGAAACGAGCGATTTTTTTGTGTTTATCAAGTCAACGTTAACTCGCCGGTGTGAGTCACTGCAAGAATAAAGATTCGAGAATCGGCACAAGACAAGTCCACAGTATCGGAGATGTGTGTAGAATCCCAGGAAGTCTTGTCCTTGTGGAAGATTACTCCAGCATGAGAATCCGACTGAGGTATAAACTGGATCTCTTATCAGAATCCGAATAAAGAACGGCGCGTTCTTCTATCGGGACTCCACCGAGACTTCAAGCGTCGTGGATCTTTGACCTCTTCAACATTCGCCAGGTTACAACAGTCCTCCGTGATGTTTATGTTCTCGCGTGACTTCGCTGGAATGACAAGATCCACCTCGATCGAAGGAAACCTCGTCGACCTCGCAAGCAATACAAATTTCGAAGGATCCTCGCGAGCGAACTTCCTGCGCGACTCGGTCGAAGGACAAGGATTTTGCGATTGACAGGTCGTCAATATCTCAGCGTATCTGAAGACCAACCACGGCGCCCAACCACCGAGGCTCGTTTCAGGTAACTTCGTCTGGCACTAAAATGCAAGAGTATACGCGGTGCTATTTAAGCCTTCGCCATTTCCCCCACCCACGTGGAGGGAAGCGTCTCGGATCAGCTGACTACTTTGTGTGTATGCACTCTCCCTCTCTTTGTTTGAAAACAACTGCGATCAGGTGCATACGGCGCAACGTGCGATCTGTCAAATTCGACGTCGCGATTTCCGCGTTAGAGTCGCCTCAGCTCTCCGCCAAGGCTTTCCTGCCGCTTTAACATTTCTTTGCGGTTTCTTCGGTGCCTTTGTTTGAATAATTCACGACAGATTAACAATTGAAAGATTATCGATTGAAAATCGTGAAGACCCACATAAGTTCAACAAACTCGACATCGACAATGTTTCGCGACTGTTTTAGAACTTTCTCGACACTTGGAGCCGATAAGATTTTCGCATCAGATGAAAGCGATTTGAAGAAAACATCTTGAAGAATATGAAACGAAAATTGTGAAGATACATTTCCGATCATAATTTTTTGAAAGCCTCTCTTCGAGAATTTCAGACGAGTCTTTTCTTAATAATTTGGAAGACATTTGTTAGCTTCCAAATTTAATCATCTCCTAACAATCGGGAAATTATTAAAAGATAATTTCGATTTAGGATAAATAATTGGCTCAAGTATGATAAAATAACCAAGACAACTGTTAGGATCCAAACATACAGAGAACTGCAAAAGTTTACGAAGCATGAACAGTACAAATATTTTAAATTCTTTGAAGCATGTTTCACTTCAATACGACTTCTTCGCAAATGCGAGTTGACGAAGCGTAGGATCATCAAGATCACGCAAGGAACGAAAAAGCCCCAATGTCAGCTTTGACGTGCATCAAGCTTTTCGCCTGCGCAGTTCTTTGGACAAAGAAGTTGTCCGAAGAAAATATAACTCTCCCCGTCGCACATCTCTTCGCTCTTCTCGGAACTGTAATTTGTATATCGTTAAACAGCCACGCACGTTGTATATCGTTAAAAAGCCACGTTCGTTGAACACGTAAGTTACATTTTGTAAGTAGTGTAACACTCGATGTAATTGTGCACAAAATCATAAAAATAATTTTTACAAAGATTTCGACAAAAACGTTACAAATTGTAATAAGTAATACCCAATACCCAAATATTCGAAAAAAAAAAAATACAAAGTGAAATTCGTATAGACGGAACATTCGAATTTTGTCGCATGTGTCCATGAGATTCGTTCTCAGTTGTCTCGAAATTGGTATAAATATATAAAATGGTACGGTATATAAGACGAACATTGCTAATACCGTAAACTGCGTTACGCGCCGGCAAACTGCCCACTGCGTCATTCCGTATTTCTCTGTCACGAAAAACTCTGTGCGAAAAACACGATACTTTTTTCCGTCGTTTCATGTTACGATTTTTCAAATTAATTCCATACGTACCAGAACGTAGCAGTTACTATCTTTTATAAAAAAAAAAGATATATATAATTTGCACCACTTGCTGCTAGTATATTATCATTCCGCGAAAATCGTTGAACAGTCGATTCATGGAAAGCTCCGATACGCGCAGCAAACGCTCAGCGCTTCTGATCACGTGCTATTTAGTTCACTATACACAATTTACGACAATAATATTTGTGGAAGAAGGTAGTACACACGGACGGTGCGTCATTATTTCGCCGTAATAGCGCATCGTCTTGCGCGAGCGACTGGACGGAGAGAATTTGCGAAAATGCCAAAAGCGCGACACGCGCGCGGACAAAGCGACTTGCCGATTTTTCTTTGAGTTTTATTGCACGGATCGGGATTGCGCGTTTTTCGCTAGAAAATAAGATGGCGAAAGAAATCGCGACGCCTTCTCGCAAACGAATCTCGCGCTGGCGTTTCTGCGACCGCCACCGCCATCGCCGTCGACGCCGTGAACGTCGCTTCTTTTTCTGCGTTAGAGGACTTTGCTCTCCATTCATTGTGAAGCTCAGTGCCCAACAGGGATAAAATGTTTATACGGTTCCATGGTATGCTTGGCCCGCGGCCAGAGGATACTGCGCGTGCATCTCGCCAACGAAAATAGACAGCCGCCGGCCAAAATCCCCCATGACTTCTCTTTCGTCGTTTTCGCCGCGTACGACGTAGGACGACGCGGAACGACGAATACCAAAGACGAGAGAGAATCCCGCTGACTGCGCGGATCCAAGGATACGAGTATCTTTAGTATATACGAAGCACCGAGGAGATCCTACAGGATTTGAGCATCTAGGAAACCCTGTTTCTTCATTTCTCACATATGTATGACACATATGACATTCCCGAGTTCTCAAAGCTCCAACGGGCTCGCGCTGCTCCTTGGAGCTCCAAATCACGCGTTTTTGAACACCCATCCTGCTTCCCTCCAGATTCCTAGACTCTGTTGTATGTAAATCCTCACATCATCCAAATCTCTTCGCATCTCCACGAGCTCAGATCCTTCGTCCTGCGACAAATCCTGAATCTACGCCGAAATCGCTACGAGCATACCACGGATTTTGCGTGCGCGCGTTAAATTACGAGCGGGACCGTCCACCGCGCCGAAATAAACTTTCGCTGTTCGCGAATATAAACATACTTTATTTAAGACACTACAAACTACCGGCAGGCACGCAGAAGGAAGCGGGTCTCTCCGCGAATTTCTGCGTTGGCTGGCTCGCCGGCTGACTTCCGTTCTCGTCTGCACCGTTGTCCGTCATCTCGTTTTCTCTCCTCGACGGGAAGCAACGTCAGAGGAGGGAACATCGGAGGAACACCTTGGCTCGCACCCTCGCCAAGCAGCGAACGTTGGCCCTGTCGAGAAAAAGAGAGAGGAGAGAGAGAGAGAGAGAGAGAGAGAGAGAGAGAGAGAGAGAGAGAGAGAGAGAGAGAGAGAGAGAGACCGTTGTTACTGATGTTCGTTCTTTGTACGTGCGACTGCGTTCTCTCTACTGCGCCGTTGATCATCTCTTCGTGTTTACCACAAATTGTCCGTGTGAATGTCAGCGGACTCGTCGACACTGCGAATTTACGCCAGGCTTGTACACCCTTCGACATTCCATCGATTCTCGCGTTCCTCCTTTATAAACTTTGGGCACTTATCGCTTCATGAAATCAAAGTCTCTCTAATCCACTTCGACTATCGAATTCATTGTTTCTGAGTCGTTTGATACCCTCCTTATCTGATGCGATACGAAAAGCAGGACGCAGAAAGTGTCCCAGAATCTTTAGAAGAAACGCAATTGCAAGTCTCGTTGGACGGGTCAATCCGTCTCTCTGTTTTTCGCGAACACACATGTATACATACACACACGAATGCGTGACGGCCACGCTTATGACGCGCGCGACCTCGATTTTCGCGAATGTCTATTTTTCAACACGGAATTTCCCCGACGCGAGCAACACGAACCGACGACGTGGCTTGTCCGCCGGTACGACTTTTATTGCGACTTTTGCGTATCTTCTTAACAACATCAGCGCTACTAACATCGGACTCTTTCTCAGTTCTCGTAATATCGTGCACTTTTATACGAGGGTGAATCGAAGAGCAAAGATGCAAAAGTGTCGGGTAAGCAAAGCGCAGATCATCATGAGGTTTGTCTGTTGAAAACGCGCGGAGCTTGAGAGAATAAAATTCTCTCAAGACTTTTGCATTTGATGATCTCGCTTCTTGATAATGATATCGCTTCCTTCGGATTACAATATCTCCGGGAGGAGAGTATTTTATCTATATTTTACAAACAATCGATTTTTAGTGTGGAAACTGAGCATGGATCTACAATGTTCAGTTAAATATTTAAGTATGCCAACAAGTCGTGAATGGAAGATACACACTAAAGTGTATTGTAAATAGTGCGAGATCGAATGATGCTCGTTTAACAATCTATATTCACTTTTATATCCATTTTATATATATATATATGTATATGTGTTAACAATGAGCGACAATATATCGGTTCGCAATCGCAAGACGCACAACACCTTAAATTACGCCACGCGGAACTGCTTATGGATGGATTTCGCTAATACGAAAGCTGTCTCGTTCGTCTATCGAGTGCAATATGAACGATTGAGACATCAGTCGGGTTTGTATATGATTTGTTTTCTCTCGCTGGTCGAGTGGTCGTCGATATTATTCGTGTTAGGCCAAAGCAGTAAAATTCTTTGATTATAGATTGAACAATCGTCTATATTCATACCACACATTTAGCGTTCGATGTTGTCGTCCGATCGCCGACGCATGTACTGCAATTTTAGATAAATAGAGAGAAATCGGGCAGCCGCATCTGCCGCTAAATGCAACGTTAACCCTTTCGCTTCCAGCCTCCTCAGTATCGTGCGCTTTCGTACATACATTTGTAGCGTGCGGACACAAAATATATAATTTATTATGTCATTCTCGATATTTTTTGTTGTTCCGATACATAGATATGTTTGGAATTATAACTTTATCATTTGGCATCATCTGCGAGTTTCGAATGAAATGAGAAAAGAGACATGTAGTCACATCTTGTAGCACGAGAGAACTGCGTTTAAGATAAATATTCTGCGTACGTGATTATAATTCAGCGGCGAATTAGTAGTTGATAAATATGTACGAACAGAAAAGCGCCATATAATTCATATAGAAAATAATACGTATCAAAATCAGTTCTGCCAGTTGTCTAGTGTTACTGGTCAGTCAAGATCTCGCGAATGGTCCACCCAAAAGGTCCAGAAAAAATGTTCGGGGTATCCGTGAGCGTGATAAAACGACTCATGGCACAACCTTTTTTAATAATATAAAGACTCGATATTGAAAGATTAAATGGAGGCATGAATACGCACTTCGCCATAGGAAAAAATGTTAAGTCTGAAAATACTATCGGAAAATCACGCTGAGTGCCCATTTATCACACAGGTTTTGGCACAATGCACGCGCATCGTGCATTGTTATTCAACGGCTGTCTGATACAAATCATTTTGCAATCGCATCATCGGATCATCGTCACAATGTACAAGTCGTTCCATAAATGCGCATACAGATAACAACCTCTTCTTCGGTTCGTATATCCTCAGGTTCACGCGAATCCTCGATATAAACTGCGATCAAATTATTTTTGAACAAAGCATACATATGCGTTAGATATTCGAGGAGTCACGCTATTTTTACGGAAAATTTTGTAGTAACGCACGTTTTTTTTTCTGTAAACGAAAGCATCGATTGCTGCGAAAATGTATACTCGCAGTTTCTATGAGTACAATTAATAATAATCTACTAATACTAATTTCAACGAATTTGGTGTTTTCTGTTGGTGAACAATTTCATTGCGGCACGTCTCTGGGAATTATCCGGCTACGCATGAATTACGTGCTCGGAATTGTAACACGCGAGTCGATAAAATTACTAGAAGCACTTACGTATATATGAAATCTTTACGTATTTACGTGTGCACACGCAAAATAAAAATACACACATATACACGAAGAACGTCGATTAATCCTGCAAAGTGCGGAAAAATGTCAAGAACTAGTTTCTAGATTCTTTTAGATTTTCAAAATATAGACTATGAATTATATTAACTATGAAAAATTCGACAGTAATTGTTCATATCAAATTCTATAAATAAAATGAGATATAGAAGATTATCTCAAAGCCTTCGGGGAAAAAGCACGTTCGTAAAATTTTACTCGCACCGTTTCACCGAAGACTGGCCATTACAGGATTGAAAATCGAACCGACCGTGAATGAATCGATAACTATATATCGCCTACCCGACATTCACGTGAATAGCATTAAAATTCGGTCAATTGACTAATGTAGAATACGCTTTGGAACAGCTATGGCGAAATATTTCAACTCATCCCTTACGTTGCTCCTTAATCTTATAATATGTATGATCCTTATAGCGTTACATCTCTTGACTCCTGATTTTGGAAAATGTAACGTTACGTAACGTTATAATAATACATTACGAATATATATCATGTGTTCTTCTAAATAAATATTCCCAAGTATTACATAGTAAGTGACGGAAATGAGAAAGAACGAATAAATACGTACAGATTAAAGTATAGATATTAAAGAGATATTAAGATATAGATATCAAAATATAGATAAAGTTCAGGCATTCGAGCCAACAGAATGTTTATAAATACTGTTGTTAATGTCTAATGTTAAGCACTTGTTCCCTATTTCTGTGCGTAACAATACAAATATTTCCGTGCAGTATTCCATATGATCTAATAACGATATTGCAATGTATAACAATGATAATGCATATCAATATTATATAGTTATAAGATCACATCAACGTAACTCGATCGCGGCTGATTTGCGAACAGAAATGGCAAAAACGAACGATTATTATTCCATTATCAAATATCGCTACATTTTCCACGTTCTCTATTTTCTTGTCTCTCGGAATGCGTCTGTCTTAAATTGTGGCTCATCAGACGTGTTTCTGTTAAGATTCTTTGCCAGCTTCCGGTCGGTCCAACGCTTCCTGCGCGTGCTGCAAGCCAGCGCAATAATGCAGAAGCAGAACGCTCAACGCCTGCACCCGCAAGTCGCTCTGCGCGATCAATTTCATGCTGTCCGCATCTCCGTTCTGCGATAATTCTAGTCTTGAGGTAGTTTCGGCGTCTAGTGCGTTTTTCAATTTGCCCATCTGCGTTAACAGATGTTTAACAATTAATTTAGTGCGTTAAGAGGTCTCGGGAGTTACATTGTTATTAGTGTCGAGATATGGGAGGTCTTCAATCCTGATCAACTTTACAACATGGAAATCTCCTGGGAATAAATCATCAAATGAAGAACGTTCACATACCATAGCGTTGATCTTCTCCACGCGCTCTTGCGGTTCCAAATACTTGTGCAGAAACTTGCCGGTGTCTTTCGCTCTCGACATGAGACCGTCGTCCAAGTCGCCGGCCACAAGTGGAGCTGCAACACTTGGCTCAGCACCCTCCAAGAGGTCAGGACTTATTCCCAGACCTCCGGCCAATGAACTCTAAACGTTTCAACAATGTGATCAGATCGATTAATGCGAGACGATCACATCCTAGAAAGCGAGAGAATGAGGAGAGATCAAACGATTCCTCGCTCGATGTTACGATGAGTTTTCGAAAATGTATAACGTGATCAAGCAGTCGCACCGATTATGTGTGAGTCATAAATAATTTTTCTGCATCTATAATGATCATCGAGTGCAAGCTTGGTCTCAGCGCCAAAGTGCAATTACAATGCAATCAGTGCCGTGATCGCGCTCATCATACGATGAAAATCCTCATCGATGAAAAAAAAGAAAAAAAAAGAAAAGGAGAAAACTCGCAACAATTTCGGATAAACGATAGAAATCATGAGACGTCGATTCATCGCCGGACGTAGAGGAGTTTGTGGATAAAGGTAAAAGAACCCGAAGTAGGATATTTATGTAATTTACAAATGGATGATTTCTAAGGAATGCTCGAAATTGCCACAAGTTTTATAATCTACATATATCGTTATTGCTACGCTGTATCATTGTCAATCACTTTATCTTACATTCTTGTGTGCGAATTACCGAGTTCCTTCGCCGGCGAATCTAAGAAGTGACTGATGGAGGAATGGTTGAAGCGAATGAAACGGTTCAAGCATGGAAACTGCATGACACAGATCAAACCCTCTTCCAGAGAGCACATCCGTTCCTTTCGTTCGATTGAGAAGGCGTAGCGGAAAAGGATGAAGCGGAGAAGGCTTGCTGCGCTCTCATGGCAAAAATGCGATAATACAGGAAACTGAAAAATTGTCTATTTTCACTGACCGCAGTTTTGCCGCAAATTCTTGATTATATAAAATCTGCAATTTGAAAAGTGCATTTAAAGAAAAGTTTCACTTAATATCAATCACTCACAATTAGTAATAAAATCGGTTGCAATTGTCTCAAATTCTTCTTCCATCGATATCTTCACGTATTGAATTAAAAGTCTAAAGTTTTCACATGATTCAAAGAGAAATCTAATTCAAAGCTTAGCGCACGCGATCCTTCTCCACTTCGGGTAAACAAATGTGTGTTATTAACTTCTACCTTGCGGGATGCACAGGGACTTGGGGGAAGACTTCGAGATGCCGGACCGATACCGGAAGTCGGTGGGGCCAGGCAACTGGTACTTCCAGCCTTCTTCAGGCCCAACAGAGTGTTAGCTATACTAGCCTTCACGGCCATCATACTTGCGCCCTGATTAATCGACCAATGGATTTTAAATTGAGATTAATACTTTACTCACTAATAAATCTATATCCACATAAAACAATGAATCGAAGTCGCGAGACTGGTCTCGTGACACCAACGTGAGCGTATGTTTCGCAAGCAAAGTATAGAATCTAGGCGACGTACAATATTTCCAAGTGTTTCACACCTGGCTTATTGCGAGCAGTGTTTTAACAACATGTAAATACAACGGTACTTCTCCAAGAATTTGAAATGGGCAAGCACTCCGTGGTAGAACACTCAGAAATCGCACATGTCCGGATGATATACTTTACCGTAAACGAAAAATGTCGATTTTACGAGAAACGATAAATCAAAGAAAGCGAAATTAAACTTATCGGTATAAGAGTTCTACGTCTACGTCGATATTATAATCCATCGATGTTCAAGAACAAAGGCAAGGTCAAGGTGCAAGTTTACAAAAAGAACCTTCACCTCCCCGAAGTGCGTACGTTCAATTCGTTTTATTGCCAACAACAGAATGTGAGTTACGCTTAACAATCTGCTTCCTATGTACAAAATACCAAGATAAATGCGTTCAAAGATACGCGCGAGTTCTCGAAAGCTATACACTTCCCTTAACCACATGACATGCTGTCAAGCGCATCTGCATTTTATCGATATGTAATACTGATAATCGTCTTTTAGATTCCTTTTCGCATCGTGATTGGTGCTTGAAGTGGCATGATATATCAAAATGATAATGCTCGGTAAAAAAATTCACTCTCTCGATACAAATTCGGTAAATAAAGTAATAAATAAATAAGAACAAGCGATTAAATTGGACATCATTTGAAATGCGGAATTCAGTCTCAATTGTTACTATTCCACATTTTTCTAATTCCCTAGATATTTTAGATATATTCCTTATTTACATCAATAAATTACGAATATTAAGCACACAAACTGACAGTGTATATAAATTATGGTACACAAAACGAAGAGTGATATCCTTAAAAAAATAATAAGTATGAAATACTTGCAAAATGACGTAAAGTTTACGTCATGATGTGTTTATAAGTATCGCATGTTTTCGTAAAAGATGCAACGTATAAATCAACACAAATTCACAAAATAATAATTATTCGATCACCGCATGATCCGCAGGCTCGGACTGGGAGGCAAATTCTTCAATTTACTCCCGTTTTCCTTCGAAATGTTAATATCACGTCATTCGCAAATCAATATCACTCAAAATCAATATCGAAGAAATAAATTAAAATGAGCTCTAAAAAAACGCGGGTATATACAGAGTGTCCCGAGAGGAAAGATCAATATTTCGTGGGGGTATAGAATGAGGTAATATAAGGCAAAAATGTTATATAAACATGGTGTCGTTCATTACTGGTTTCCGAGATACAGCTATGTTAAATTACACGTCGGAATTGTCTAATATGAGTTGAAGTTTACCGCAATTACATTGTAATACATCTATCATAACAAATTTTCAAATATTTCGCCCCGTACTTCGATACATTTGTCACATTTTGTGAGAACATGGTGGGTTGCGCGCCGGAGAGCATCTTCACGGGTCCTAATTTGGTCAACAGCAGCTATTGCAATAAGTTCATCCCATGTATTCACTTTAGTTTTATACACCTCGCACTTTAACCAATCCCACAAGCAGAAATCCAGGGGAGTTAGGTCGGGTGATCTTGGTGGCCACTGCACTGTTCCACCGTGACCGATCCAGCGATGTGAAAACACTGCATTTAAGTGTTCTCTTACAAGATGTGTGTTATGAGGAGGTGTTCCGTCGTGCTGAAAATACATAGTTCTTCGTGTAGCCAGGGAAATATCTTCTAGTTTTTGTGGAAGCGTATTTTGTAAAAAGTCGAGGTAACTCTGCCCTGTCATACGATTTTGTAAAATAACGGGACCAATCAGCATTCCATCAATCATGCCACACCATACGTTGATGGAGAAACGAACTTGGAAATTTTGTACAATGGCGTTAGGGTTATCTTGCGACCAACGATGGGTGTTACGCGTGTTATTTATACCATTATGCGTAAATGTTGCCTCGTCAGTGAAAAGTATGACGGGAATCAATTCACGATGATTTTGTAGCCACTGGCAAAACTGTAGACGTGTGGTTCCATTTCCTTCATGGAGATTTTGTACTTGTTGCGGATGAAATGGGTACAGATGTTGGTCATGCAGTATCCGCCAGACAGTGTCCGAGGAATACCAGTACGTGCAGAGACCCTTCTTGTACTAGTCGTAGGGCTGCTTTGTATCATTTGAAGTGCCATTTGTACCATTTGAAATTATATTTTCTTCTTCCTCATCATTTCTCTCAACTCTCTCTCGTTCAGATGTGATGTGAGCACTGGGAAGAAGTGTACCATTTTCACGTAAGCTGTTAAACACGTTTGAGAATACTCTTCGATCTGGAATGCGGCGATGATATTCTTTAACGGCTGCGGGAGCACTGCCATCACAATACCCATAAACATAAACCATATTTGCGTACTCTACATTAGAAAACATATGCGGCATGTTTGCAGTGTGCCACAAACAGCAGGACAGATCACTAGGTTCTGATTCTGATTCTGATTCAATAAATGGCTCTGAGCAGAGCTGTTACACTCTATCTCCTACACCAGTCAACAATTACGAAAGTAAAAGAAAAACAGGGACAACGCGTATACGTGGGGACACAATCAAAAATATGCGTAATTACGGGAACCACATCCAACCATCACCAGGTGTGTTTCGCTAACCTTTCCAACTGATACATGGCTTCTACACACAGGACGCGGCAACACGTTGACCAATCACAGTCTTTCTTTTACAGTTATATAACTCATATCTCTGGAAAAGAAAGACTGTGATTGGTCAACGCGTTACCGCGTCCTGTGTGTAGAAGCCATCACAGCCTGCAGCGCTCCGTTACGGTGAAGGACGAAATCCCAATGATGCGCCAACTTTAAATTCCGACGTGTAATTTAACATAGCTGTATCTCGGAAACCAGTAATAAACGACACCATGTTTATATAACATTTTTACCTTATATTACCTCATTCTATATCCCCACGAAATATTGACCTTTCCTTCCGGGACACCCTCTACATATGTACATATCTTTACTTGGTCGGAAATTCTTAGGTATAAAATGCACGAATTTGACTTTTCTCTCAATAAAGCTCTATCGAAAATGATTTCAAATTGTAAAGCTATCAATGACTAAGCGTTTCTTTGTATTTCTCCTTCCAATCCGAAACTGCCCCGTGTGTGAGTATCGTACATTGCAAAGGAGAACTCGAAATGTTCCCGATTACAGTCACGAAAAACGAAAGTTGCGCCTAACGTTCTACGTCTTGAGTACCTGTACGTTATCTTCACACCCGGTTAGAGAGATCTCTGGACCGATATCCCCGATGATAGTACTCGGCTCGATCTCATCAGCCTCCAGTGCCAGTGTAGCCAGACTCTCCGCACCGCAAGTGCCGGACGCCTGGCAACGTGCCTCGCACTTCTTGTGGCATACCATACCGCAATCTCGACATTGCACCGCATCTTTCAACCATATCTATACACATAAAGTAGTCCATGTAATCTCAAAGTAAAATAAAATCGAGTGAGATCCTAGAAAATTAATTCTTTATCAGGGTCTAATTTTCAGCATAAAAAAAAAGTTTTTCTTCTCAGAGAACTCCAGTCCATTAAAATGAGAACTTATCTCTAGGTTTTTAATAACTTACCAAAAAATTATATATCTTGTGTCAAGCGAGTCGTATAATTTAAAGAGAGAAGATAGATACCGTACCTTCTTCGTACAGAAGTCACAGTGCGTTGCTCTGTGAAAATGCGTCCTGATAAAATCATGCATCTTCCGGTCGGCGACCTCCTCGTTCAGAATTGGTTGAATTTTAGCAGTTTCCGCGTTTTCCTTCTTCCCGGCATCACTAATCGCTTGATCGCTCGGTTGACAAGATTCCCAAACGTACGATAGCAAAATATCACCGTAACAAAGCGTCGGGTCAAATCCGGAGTAGCCTTGCAGTCTTACATAGGATGTCGCTAAAGAAGCTTCAAGAAAATGATTCCAATCAGTATCTAATTGACATTCTTGGGCTGAATAAAATCTCGGAAGTATAAGAAATAAATTGTGTCATGCTTTGACTTTCCCTGAAAGGTCTATTTAATCAATAAGAACAAACTTCACGGAACCTACCGCTTTCCGGTGGCAGCAGTGCGTGACATTTCAAGTAATGCCCCGTCGTGGATGTGCAGCATTGCGCTAAAATCAACTTGATGGGTGCATTGATGTAGCCGAGAAGTTTGGAGGGCGCCTCGCCTCCTTTCACTCGTCCCCATACTCCCACATTCAAATATTGTAGCTCGGAATCAATCCGGAAACTCTTGGTCTCTTCGAACGTGATTAGAGAGGCATACGGTTTTTCCCTCGTGTTAGAATGTAAATCGGCGATGCTGTAATTATCGTCAGGTAGATAAAACTGCACGCTGCTGGATGCCGCCGACGATATAGAGACGGTAGAGATCCGTCGAGACGGCGTAGTGTCAGGCGTTTGGGCAGCGTCTTCCGTTTGCACGCTGCTCTTTCTTCTTTTGAATAGCTTGCTAGTGTCCGACCGGCTGTCCGTGAGATCGCAGTCCGAGTCTCGCAGGTCGGAGAACTTGATCTGCGTCTCAAACTTCATCTTTCCGGCGTCCTCCGCGCTCGGACTGTCCACTCTGCCTACGGAATCGCTCTTCGACGCTTTCCTCTCGGTAAAAGATACCCTTTCGCTGTCCATCCTTATGCCGCTTTGTCTTTCCAAGTCCACCTTGGAATACCGTCTCTCCACTCGGATGATGAAGCGTCGCTGCACGGCGGACTTGACGAATTTCGCCACCTGATTCATATTAGACACTTTCTTGCCGTCCACCGCTACCAGGATATCGCCTTTCTTCATCTCGGCGATCGCCGCCGGACTGCCGGACACTATCGTTTCCACCAGCACGCACACTTGGCCAATCTCTGGCACGATCTCTTGCTTGAACACCACGCCCAGCTGTTGGGAACCAGTTTTGCTGATGATCAGATCTAGCACCATATAAGGAACGCCGCTATATTGTGTCAAATACACCCACGGCGTGGGATCCACGCTCATGCTGCAGTACACTTCCATCTGGGAGAGGTCCTCGCTGTTATTGAGTACGATGGGTGTGATATTCAATCTGCTGATCTCCAGTAACACGACCTCTAGATATCCCGGAGTGAGTTGCGTACTGGCGACCTAAAAATTTGAGGTAAAATTCCAGACGCTCCGAAGCAAACATTGTAGTTCTCGTACAATGAATCGAAAGAGAGCAGATCTCACCTCTGAGAGATCCACGGCCTCGTCGTTCAATCTTCGGAAGAACGGCTTGTAGCGCATTTTGTAACGAGGTAGAGTATGTTTCCGTCTTACTGCCCGCCTGATCTGGCTGGTAATGAGCGAAATTATCTGCGGCTGCAATTGACGGCCTTGGAACTGCGACTGCACTTCCAGCTCCAAGATCGGATCCGAATAGAAGCTTAAAGACCAGTGCGTGTACGGTACACGAGTAAACTGTAGCCTAGCTTTACCGCTGATACATTTCACTGAGGAAAAATCGGCGACTGTGTAAGAGTCTCCTAGTTTCATTATCCTGTTTTTTCTAATAATACCGTCATGTATCTGTGGTAATACCTTGCAACGCCATGTACGCAGTTTTTCCTAGCAGCATCTTAACATCTATAGACAATTGAAAGTTCCCTGAGTAATGTAAATCTAAGGCCAAGTCTAGAGACTCCAGCAGACCCGTGTCAGCGTCGATCTTCGAGTCAGCGACTTCTAAGCCCTTGATCGTGGGAAATTGCGTACCAAGGTTTAAGTCTCTCAACTGTAAGTATATTGAAGAATTTATTCGAGAAAAATGCATCCCTAGGACCTACCATGTACATATGTAGCTCACGAGTCTTACTTTCACGCTGTCTAGCAGTTTGCCGGTGGTCGACTGTGTCAACAGCTCCTTAAATTCGTTATTCAACTTCCTGTAAAGCCAAAGACGCACTCGCTCGGCATTTCGCAGTTCATTGAAAAGGAATTGCAGCGTGAGATTGATAGCTAGGTTCTCATTGCCCTGGGACATCGCTTGACGTGTCATACTGTTATTACAATTCAATCGTTCCTCCTGCATCTGCTCCACCAGTTCCTTAGGTAATTGCGCCTTGCCATGATGCAGCTGCCTTTGCGGCGAAGCAGCCTGAGGTCCCGAAATAAGGTACCTCTTGAACAGATGAAACTCCAATGCTAGGGTACATATTATACCGCAGATGAATGTAACAACGGCAACCAGAACAAGTTGCAAACCGTCCATATTAAAATCACTGTTGTTAAAGACAAAGTTTCTCCCCCGTTGAGTATCGAATGTGGCATACACCCAAACTATAGGCTATGCAGATCGTTACACAGAAAATGTTGCACCATGTGTAACACTAAACAAAGGGCTTTCAATTCCAGCTTCATGTTACAGATGTGGTTGTATTACCCCACCATGAGTATATGATAAAGGAAGAAAATTCCAAACGTGCATGTTAGAGCCACAGCTGTCTGTCTTCAATGGGCATCAGTAGATACTTATGACACACGCTGCAGCAAGAATTATGTAAGCACTATTAAAGTGTGCATAGCCAAAGAGAAAGGAAAAATCTGAAAACTGTAACTCCTCATAGAGATAGAAACTCAGACACATAAAAGAAATTATTATAACAAAACAGGAAATTCATTTCTATTTATTTTCTATAATTATTACTAAACATAATGATTACTATATTAGCAATATAAAATATTCTAATAATTTTATTATAGAAGAAACCTAATCCTTCACCTAATTATGTTACAAGGAAAAGAATTTACAATTTTTATCATTAACAAACAAATCAATTGCTATAATCAGAGAAAAGATAATGTACAAATTACATATAATAAAAAATGTATAAATTAGCTTGTATTCTTACATAAAGAGGCAAAAGATGCAATAAAAATAAACGATACTTCTAGAAAGGATTAATTTTTACTGTTGAAACATATTGTCGCAACACTACCTAGGTTTACATTAGGAACTTTCGATACGGCTGATCTCTCCCCACAAGCGAGCCATCTGGCCCGGTGCATTGTGTTAAACGTGAGTCAGCCTCGCGTCTTCACGGCTCGACAGCTATCCGGAACACTTTCACCTGTCACACCGATCAGCTGAACGGCGTCGGTGGTGGTGCGCAGTCGTATAGATGCACAGAATGATCTGCTCTCTTGTGTCTGTGCCACATTCGATGATGTCGTCGGTTTACAGGCGACAATCGCGAGGGCACGTCCCGCGAGAAGTCGCAAACGCGAAGACATGGGATAAATTCAATCTTCACGTTCCTCTATCGATCCCATGACGGCCATGTTCACGCTTTGACTGACAGGCAGTGATACCAGAATAGAGATGGCTTTGAATAAATCGTAATGGGGCAGGGAGGGGGGAACGTATACAACCGAGAGCCTCATACTGCAAATACGTTTTATGATTCGGCTAGCTGTAAGGATAGATGCAATAATAAATAATAATAAATATATAGTAGTGAGAGGTACAAGTTCGACTCTTTTATATACATATATATATGTACATGTATAAGAATATATATATATATATGTATGTATATATATGTATATCACATTTTTTATAAATATTAGTGTATATAACTTATATTCACTGTAACATACTCAATGAGTAAATGTATGAATATTAAAAGACTGGAAATCGAAAAGAAACATTTAACGCTTTTTCTTCTTCAATAGATGGCTCTGTGCATACAATAGATGCTCCAACGCCATTCACACGTAAACATTTAACGCTGTTATGCCCAGTTCCACAACTTGCTTTAAACGGAGTTTAAAGCTAAACCGATGGTTAAAAGCAATAGTATATGCGCATATTCCCAGTGCGGAACTATATTCCGCACTGGGAAAGGACGCCATCTGCATCCATTTTGAGAGGGGAACTACGATGCTACCATCCACTTTTAGGTCTCGGTGGTAAAATCTGCATGTGGTGGAAGTCCGTGCTACATCCATTTTCATGCGGTTTATGTCCGTGCTGCAACCACCATCTGTTGCCATTTCTATACCAGACTATGCCCGAAGGTCTAAAAAGAGCGGGGGGGGGAGGGGGGAGGAGCAGAAAAAATAAAAGTACGTATTAAATGTTAAATCTTCGAATACATGTTGCCGTATCAAAGTCTCCTCTATAATAAACGATTTGATATGTCTGGAGACGCATGATGTATCGTATGATGTCCGCGTCCCGTTCCCTTCGTCCTGCTTCTCAATTCAGCATCCCGTCCGCTCCGGACATTCGCTCGTGGCACTGACAGTGGCGGTGAGCATTCGATCCGCTCGGAGGAGCACGCGTTAATTAACGCGACGAGACTCCGATTATAAATATCCCACGAGTCGACGAAATATTTGAACTTTTAAAAAAAGCATCAAAGAAAATCACATTGATGTTGTCATGGTTAAAATCTCACCCTGGTATATATTTTTTTATTTTCGAAATAAAAAAAGCCAAACGAATGCAATTAAATGTTATTTATCATCATTGAATATTAGATGAAAAATAGAAGAGTTATTGTCCGCAGCGAATAATCTCCCTGTATAAAATGTCGAACTGAAACATATTAAAAAGTATTGACATTTTGAATACGTCTGAATTCTGCTTTCTGATCCGAAGAAAGGGACTAAAAGGTATTAGTTCCCATTAAATTTCACTGCGCTAAATGCGAGATGGCAGTGGTGAATGCTTCGCATTAATACGGATTCAATTCATTTCAAATATGCCTTGTATTCAATCGCAATCGATAATTTTCAAATGCGAACTTTCGTATTGAAAAGTATTCACTTCTCCTCGTAATTGTTTTCGGATTCAGAGGCATACAAGATTTTCACGTTCTATTCCCCGTCGCATTGAAAAGTGTTGGCCTGCGATCCAATCTGAGATTCCCGCAAAGCAGAATTCACGACAAAATCTCGTGAATGCGAAACAATACTTTTAAATACGACATTTTATACACGACTAACATTTAATAAGAACAAGACAAAATTCGCATGGGATGAAATTTCACTCTTTATCGCTATCATGACCTTTAATTATTCTCCGCAAACGGCGTCACAACTTTGATACTCTGTACAATTAGTTGCTAACACATTTTCTAATCGTACACATTCCTCTTTAATTAACATAAAGCTAACAAATGTCCTATGCTTTGACAGAGTAATTTTCTTTATTTTCAGTAATCAATAAATAGAGTGCATCAATGTCGCGCACAGTTGAAAGGCCTCCTCGCATTTCCCTCGTCGTTCTGGAACCTTCGAGAAAAGAAGAGACGCTCAAAGGCAAGTCTCTCTTGCTTCAACCGCCGCCGAGGCCCGCAATGTTTATATCGCGCCGATTGTGTTGATCGGCTCGCGAGCGACGACACTTTTTGCCCTTCGTATCATAATACTCGCGCACCACGTATATTCGACCTCATTCCATCAACAGCAGCCGTGCGCGACGCGCTCGTCACTCGTCTCGTGTAATTAAAAGAAATATATCTCGTCGGTCCTCGAGATACTCAATCGGCATCGCGTCGGCATCGCGTTCATTAACCGCACGGTCGAATCGCGAGTATCGGCATTAAAAGCGTGAGCGAGTGAAATCCGGAGGACTCCAGCAGCCGGGAAGCAGGACGCCGGCAGCAATATGTCACGTTTCCAGGTATGTGGAATCATTTATTATGCGGGAGGTCTCCGATAACGAGAATGGATGTTTGACGAAATTTCCGGGAATAAGAAGTCGGAATTTCGTGCTCGGCATTCATGATCCGTCATCATCCAACTAGGAATCATCACTTTATGAATTTGCAATTACTCTCGTCAATTTCTGTCTATCTATTTATTGCGTTGTTGTATACAAAAGATATTGATCCAGACAGAGACGGATAACGGTCCATGAACGCGGATCTCTAATTCATCTCTAATTCATCATGTTCTCAATCAAACATTCTGAATAATTCCCAACTGTATGAGTATACCGGTCTTGTGTAGAATATTCAACGTCATACCTTCTTCTTAGACTGCGACCTTTTTTGTTTTCGGTCAGCGCTTTTTTCAAGTCTGTTTACTCTCGTTACGGAATCTAAATTTAAATGTCCATTTGTAAAAGAGTATTTTCGAGAACACACAACTGTTGTTCCGCTTCTTGTTGTCATTTTTTTTCGTCAGCTCTTTCAAGAACTCCTATTTAGACTTTCAATATCAATGAAGAAAAAAAATCGTAGCGAATATTCTCCACTCATCCCGACCAAACATTCTTTCTCCACTGCAGCTTACCAACTAAGAACGCTACATTTTGTTCCAGACGTTGCAGGAAGCAAGCCCGGCGGACGCGGACGCTGCACCAGAAGATCCGGAAGGTAAAGTTTACAAGTTTCCTACACATTTGTGTTCAACTCTTTATAATCTTTGCCTTTGCAACTTGTTCCTCATCAGCTCTCTTGAAAGCTTCACGTCTCATTTAAATTTTCAATGTTGGAACAAAAATATAAAGACAAAATTCCCATATCAAAATATTTCCGTATTTTCGATTCGTCTCGATCAAAGATATTCTCTCTCCACCGCAGATTATCAACTGGGGAAAATACTTTTCTGTTTCAGTTATTGCGGAAAGCAACAACAATCCGGCAGATGCGGGTGCCGTACCGGAGGATCCGGTTCGGGCCAAGCAGAGTCGGTCGGAAGGTAAAGTTTACAAGTTTCCTACACATCTGTGTTCAACCCTTTACGATCTTTGCCTTTGTAACTTGTTCCTCATCAACTCTCTTAAAAGCTTCAAGTCCCATTTAAATTTTCAATGTTGGAACAAAAATATAAAAATAAAAATTCCGTATCAAAATATTTCCGTATTTTCGATTTGTCCCGATCAAAGATATTTTCTCTTTACCGCAGGTTATCAACCGGGAAAATTATTTTTCTGTTTCAGTTGTTGCGGAAAGCAACAGCAATCCGGCGGATGCGGATGCCGCACCGGAGGATCCGGTTCTGGCCAAGCAGAGTCGGCTTGAAGGTAAGTTTACAAGTTTACTATAGTTCTCTGTTTGACCCTTGGCGATCTAGAGCTGGGATATAATTTCCGGCTCGACTTGAATTACGATCGCAGAGAGTAAACTACTCTTTTACTCGCTCGCACTCGTTGGTCAAATCTGATAAGCGAATGTGAATCTTTTGTTACAGAGTTGAAGCGGAACGTGGCCGGCTCTGACTGCAAGTCGTTTTGGTGAGTAAATGCAAAATGAAAAGATAAACAAAATTGCGCATGACGGATGTGGGACTATGGGAGATAAAATATCGTTCGAATCAATGCGAATTGCAAATAGATTTTGCATGTGTATGTTTGTGACGTTGAATAAAATACATTGCTCGAAACAATCAGGGGATTACTTGATCGACAGCCTGCATTACATACGAGATTTAAAATAGCGAATGATTCTCTTTTGAGGTTCATTTGAATAAGAGATATTCATGTCTACAAACGCGGTACTGTTATCAGCTGCTTTATTTTCATTTTTCAAGCGGGCCGCAGAATTATTTAACGATAATTATTTGACAATATTCAATTGACCGTAAAATATATTCATACATATAAATGCCGATACTGTTGGCTACTTTTCTTTTATTTCCAAAACAGGCTGTAAAATTATTTGGCAATATTGTCCATTTATTACGATCCCTATTGTCTCGAGTAGCGTATAATACGCGCAGAAATTGCGCCAGCGCATGCCGAGCTTGAGGTACCCTCGCTCGCGTGCCTTTGAATATTGCAACTGCGGTTACCAATATACGCGTTTTTATCCGCGCTGCTAACAAAGCTAGCTTAAACTCTCATTTCGCTAAAATATCGCGAACGTAAGCTTCGTCGTGACGGAACTATCATGCGTGAAAACTTTGCCCCGCTCTCTCTCTCTCTCTCTCTCTTTTTGCGCTCCCTCAAAGTGACCGGTTTCTGAATGTCTAATCTTTCCTCGCATGCATTCGCGAATATTCTCGTAGATATCGATACTCCCGCATTTTCGCGACTTTTCAGACGCGATCGCGAAAAACACCGTAAAAATCCGTTAGACGAGTCGATAAATTTTCACACAGTTCTTGCTCTTTGCCGATCGAGTTTATAAAGTCCATTTCGCAGCACGTAAAAAGTTTCCACTGATGTCGACGTAAAACATTCGTTAATTGACGCAAATATCGTTGCTCTCATACAAGTATCGACCGCGTCGTGAAAATATGGCGAAAGTGTAGCAATCAACGTGGGACGCGCTGCAAGATGGATGCTGCGCGACATGAAGAGCGGTAGCGGACATGGGCGGACATTGGTGGATCTGATTGGATGCAACGGCATATCATCAATATCATCATCGGTGAGCGTTTGACTGAATGCTCGCAGAGAGCTCTTTTATTATTACATTGTGCATGCCGCAAATTTGCATTGACTATTGTAGTGAGAAATAAATTCCATGAATTATTGCCATATATTATTGCCATATATTGTTGCCATATATTGTTGCCATATATTGTTGCCATATATTGTTGCTATATATTATTGCCACATATTGCCATGTAATATCGTCATATTATGGCTACTTAAAACCGCGCGAGCAATCAAGAAAACTAAATTTGCCGATAATCGCAAAGGCGCGCGGCAGACGTCATGGACGGATGCCAGCAGCCTGTGTCATAGCTGCCCGATAGCAATGCTGTTGCTGCAATTTAACTTTAAACCACAGCGGCCTCCGGTCTCTTTCTATCGCAGATTAACCCCTCGAGCTGAATG